GTAGTCTTTCACACTTTTAAAATTGAAAGTCATAGGGAAAAAAAAATTAAAAAACAAAAAAGGTTGGGGGTGCCTGGGTGGCTCAGTTGGTTGGGCGTCCAACTTCAGCTCAGGTCATGATCTCACGGTTCGTGAGTTTGAGCCCCGCGTCAGGCTCTGCTGGCAGCTCAGAGCCTAGAGCCTGTTTTGGATTCTGTGTCTCCCTCTTTCTCTGCCCTTCCCCTGCTCACTGTCTGTCTCTCTCAAAAATAAATAAACATTAAAAAAATTTTTAAATTAAAAGTCATAGGGGTGCCTCATCTGGTTAAGCATCTGACTCTTGGTTTTTCAGCTCAGGTCATGATCTCACGGTTCATGAGCCCCACTAACAGCATGGAGCCTGCTTGGGATTCTCTCTCACCCTCTTTCTCTCTGCCCTCCCCCACTCGTACTGTCTCTTTCTCTCTCTCTCAAAATAAACAAATAAACTTAAAAAAAAAGATTTCAATGCACTAAGAAAAAATTAAAAGTCATAGAAAGGAATATGTTTAATGTAGCATCTAGTACCAAAAAAAAAGATAGGTATTTCTTTATCAAAAACATAGCCTTTTAACATTTTGGTGTATATATCACCAGTTTTAAAATAATACATACAGATACATGCATATAGATATATTCGTATATTTGGGATCATGCTACACATATATATCTTTGTGTTCTATAAAGAATTTTCAAATATTTTACCAAAAACATGATTTTTAATGACCATTCTTTTTCTTTAATGATAGAATGGTCTATGTAGTAATTCATGAACTAAGGGCACTTTAATACTATAGCCCACATGTGGAACAATAAGAAACAATAAGTCCTTGGTTTACACTTTATATCCATTTTCAGCCCTCCCTCTTATTCCATGACTTCACCTTGCACCGTCCCTTTCCCTTTTTTTTTTAGTCCTATTTTGGCAGAAAGTACATGAAGTCTTAAGTATTAATCAAAAGTCAGAGGAAAATAAAATTTTCATTTTAATATTCTATAATGTTATCTACTCCCTTTCCTTTATTCAGTCTTAGAGTTGCAAAATCTCTTTAAGATATTCATCTTTCTCCCTCCCTTTCTTGATGCCCCTTTTAATAGAGGCCCCACAGAATTTGCAGATAAAGCAGTCATGCGCTCTAGAGTTATCATAGTATCTATCTGGCTGTTAGATATTTCCAGGATTTCAGAAATGGATAAGTGCATCAAAATCCTCAGTACTGACCTTGCTCTTAATGTATTCTTTTGACTGTTAAGTAAATAAATGCATGACAATTATTTGTAAATTGATTTTTTTGCCATTCTAAATCATCCTGAATAACAGAGTTGGTAGAGCTCTCCCATTTCTGTAATAATTATTTTCTTTAATAGAGCATCTGGGGGGGGGGGGCACCTGGGTGGCTCAGTCAGTTAAGCATCCGACTTCAGCTCAGGTCATGCTCTCGCGGTTTGTGAGTTTGAGCCCCGCGTCGGGCTCTGTGCTGACAGCTCAGAGCCTGGAGCCTGCTTCGAATTCTGTGTCTCCCTCTCTCGCTGCCCCTCCCCCGTTCACACTCTGTCCTGTTTCTCTCTCTCTCTCTCTCTCACTCTCAAAAATAAACATTAAAAAAAAATAATAGAATATTCGGGTCATTTTGTTAATAATATGAATACTTGCATTGTTGAATCTCTGTATAACACTTTTTTATAAATCGTTTTTTTAAATTGTGGTATGGTGTATGTATCTTATATATAATATATATTTTATATATCATTGCAGCCATTCTTGAATATACAATTCAGCGTCATTAAGTAAATTCATAATGTTGAGCAGCCATTAGCTCTGTTTCCAGAAGTTTTTCATCATCCCAAACTGAGACTCTGTGCCCATTAAACAATAAAATCCCCTCTCTCCGTGTCTGGTATAACCTCTATTCTACTCTTTGTCTCTGTGACTTTACCTATTTTAGGTATCTCATGTAAGTGGAATCATAGATATTTGCCTTTTTGTGTGGCTTATTTCACTTAACACAATGTTTTGCAAGTTTCTTTTATATTGTAACATATGTCAGAATTTCATTTCTTTTTATGGCTGAATAAAATTCCACTGTGTATATATTCTACGTTTTGGCTATTGTAAATAATGCTGTGATGAACATTGGCATACAAGTACCTGATTTCCTGCTTTAATTCTTTTGGTTATATATGTAGAAGCAGAATTGATGGATCATATGGTAATTCTGTTAAACTTGTTGAGGAACTGCCAAACTATTTTCCACAGTGGCTTCACCATTTTCCATTCCTACCAGCAATGTATAAAGTTTCCAGTTTCTCCACATCCTTGCTAACACTTGTTTTCCTTTTTTTTTTTTTTTTTTTTTTTTTTTTTTTTTTAAATAATAACCATCCTGGGTGGTATCTAACTCTTGATTTTGGCTCAGGTCATGATCTCACGGTTTGGTTCATGGGATCAAACCCCACATCAGGCTGTTCGCTGACAGTGTGGAGCCTGCTTAGGATTCTCTTTCTCCCTCTCTCTTTGCCCCTCCCCTGCTCATGCTCTTTCTCTGAAAATAAATAAAGTTAAAAAAAATAATAGCCATCCTAATGGGTGTGAAATGGTAGCTCCTTGTGGTTTTGATTTGCATTTCCATAATGATGTGTTGAGCATCTTTTCATGTGTGTAATGGCCATTGATGTATATTCTTCTGAGGAAGAAGGGCCCTTTGCCCAGTTTTGAATTGGGTTGTCTTTTTGTTGTTGAGTTGTGCATAACACCTTTTTAAAAGTAAAAGGTGCACCATAATAATCCAGACTGTGTTTCTCCCTTCTCAGGATTCCTACAGGAAACAAGTAGTAATTGATGGAGAAACCTGTCTCTTGGATATTCTCGACACAGCAGGTCAAGAGGAGTACAGTGCAATGAGGGACCAGTACATGAGGACTGGGGAGGGCTTTCTTTGTGTATTTGCCATAAATAATACTAAATCATTTGAAGATATTCACCACTATAGGTGGGTTTAAATTGATAATAAGATGACATTGAGGAGTAATTATTTATATCCTTCATTTCCTGAGTCTTTGCTGACTACCATCCGCTAATTATCTAATTTGAATTTTAAAATAATAATGAGGTAGGCATTATATCCCTGTTTTACAAATGAAGTTCTTGAGGATTAGAGCAGTTGAGTAACTTGTTCCAGATTGCGTAGATGGCAGTGCTGGAATTGAAACTTAGGCTTGTTTGACTTCAAAACCTGTGCTCTTAATCACTGTACACTAGGGTCACAGGGCCTTAAGGTAGAGCCATGATAAAAATGAAAACCATCAACAAAAATACGAAAAGGTAATTGAGGTGGTACCACTCAAATAGCCTTAAAAATAATTGAGTATATTTGGTGTAGAATTTATTGTAATTGGATAAACATTGGCTTTAGATAGTTAAGAAAAACAAACTGAAGCAGTGAAAGATTAAAATACTAGAAAAATTACACTTCATAAAGAATCTGACAAATCTGCATAAAATTGACTTCTTTAAAAGAATCATTGCATTAAATATAGTTTATATTCTATTGCTTTGAGGATGTCCAGTTTTCAAAAAAGTGCATATTAAACATCCCATTCATTAGCTATGTTTTATAACAGTGAGTTAGCCCAGTTAAGAGGTTTAACATTTTACCTAATACATTTCTTACAGCATGTTTTCCTTGTAGTCTGGTAATAGAGAAAAAGAAATTTGAGTGGGTGACAATGTTTTTGTAGAATAGTAAATAGGTGTCAATATGTTTGTTAAGCTATAAAGTTTACTTAGCTAATGAGTAGAGGAACTGGGAATCTGAACCAGTTCTAACTCTGTTGTCTTGCTTCTTCCTCCATGCTGTATCTTTGAAATTAACCCAAAATTGTGAAGGAATATAATTTTACCCCAAATTTAAAGTTTATGCACATCTTCTTGGGAAAGAAAAAACAAAAAACAAAAAACAAAAAACCTTAGAAGGACTTTTAACAGAATAAACAGTATAGTAACATCAGTGTTGTCCACGTAGAAATCAGAACCTTTCCACCTTGGTGGTCTCTTTTTTGAGAAAGGTATGTGACAATTAGGTCAGTATCGTAATTTATGTTTTTGTATAAACATTTTAAATTCTGTACATACACATTTAATAACATATACAGGATATGTTTCTAAGGTTATAATTTTAAAAATTAGGTATAGCACTTTTTTGGCTTAAAATTTTTCAATATTTTCTGTTTTATCATTGTGACCTACCTGCGTTTGAACCTATTAGATTGTAGTTTTCCTATATTTTTGGATATTTTATCTTTTAAGAGACACAGAAATTCTCTGTTTAAAATGGAGAAAAAAAATAACTAGATGAAGAAGCAAGGAAAATTTGGTGTGGTGGAAACTAGGAATTACATTAAATGTCTTTCAGCCATATTTTATAAGAAAATTATGGACAATTTTTGAAAGATTTTTTTTTTTGTTACTAATGTCTCCACTGTAACTTTTTTTTTCCTCCCCAGAGAACAAATAAAAAGAGTTAAAGACTCTGAAGATGTACCTATGGTCCTAGTAGGAAATAAATGTGATTTGCCTTCTAGAACAGTAGATACAAAACAGGCTCAGGACTTAGCAAGAAGTTATGGAATTCCTTTTATTGAAACATCAGCAAAGACAAGACAGGTAAGTGAAATTGTAATCAATATGTAATATAGTAATCAATATAGTAATCAGTATCTATTCTCTGCAAACTATATCAGATAATTTTAATTATTAATCATAATTTGCTAACGTATATTCTAGTAACATCATTTTGAGGGCAGGAGGGCAAGAGCATTGATAAATGTACATGCCTGATAGCATAACTGTTATATTATTTAATATAATTTAGTTTTTTCTTTCCATTATGCTAAAATAGGAAAAAAAAAAAAAACAATGTTTACTTGGTAAATGTTCTTTTAAGGGTATGAAAGGGCAGCATTTCTTAATCCAGTGTCCATGGTATTACTTTTGGCTTTGGTTTCTTTCCACATTGAACATTTCTCTTAAACTCAGCACATCTTACATTCAGCATTCAAGAAATGTGGGAATTTTTTTTAACTGTTATATTTATAAAGTCAAAGAACAGGGGAACAAATACTGAGTTTCCTATTTTAGAAGTGTTTTGAAGAGTATTAGGTCATGTGTTTCTAGATTAAATTTTGTTGTCTTTGAAGAATTTTACTTCTGTAGACTTTTTTTTAAGGATATATTTATTTTTGGAGAAAGTTTTTATTAAAGCAAGAGGATGGATATTTAGAAAGTAAATGGAAATTCTCAGTTATTCATTTGCTCTGTTGCTCTGACAAAAATTAATGCCAGATTGACCCTGAATTTTTTCAAAAATTATCTTCATTTTTAAAAGTAACTTTTTCTCTAAGTGAAATAAAATAATTTCAGGTACATTATGTAACCTATTTGTGTGAAATGAGAGTTTAACATACAGAAAAAAAATTCTAGAAAGGAATACATAAGGATATGATGGAATATAATTTTCATATACTAAGAAATTGATCAATTTATGTTCCATACAAGACGAACGTTTATTTTGGGTTTTGCTCGTTACATGTATCTGTGAACCCAGAAAAACAGTTTTGTGGAATTTAACTTCTGTAATGCTAGGAGTTAAGAAAATTGATGAACAACTCATTACATATAAAACAGGTTAAACTTACAAAAACAGGTATTGGAAAACTTTCACTCAATTTTGTAAAGGTGTAAATATTTTCAAGTAAACCATTATTCAGCTAGTGTGTATGTCTGTTTCCCTAGTGGAAAAGCTTATGTACTGCTTCATGGCTGTACAAATTTATACACACTGAAAAAACAATGAATTCTATTTTAAGTTTTTTGGGAGGATTAAAAGCTGAATTTCTGTGGTTTGATTATAGTATAAATATCTCATTCTAAAACCTGAGTTATAGGTTCAAGAAAGAAGTTGGTATATAGCACTTCACTTTATTTCAGAGGAGTTAAGATTTCATTCAAATCTATTCCTGGGTCCCAAAGACTGGGAAGAGTTTGGTTTCTGTCTTCTTTTTACTGATCTTCTCTAACCAGACTTCTTGATTTCCCTTATAGAGGAAGTACTCAAAAAACATATTTTGCAAAGGTAAAATTGAAGGAATGTTATTGAAAATGTTTGTAAACATACTGCCTACTACTAAACCATACCATTAACATTTTATTAACTTGCATTATTTGTAACTTTTAAAAGATACTTTTTAGACAACATTAGTTAATATTTTAGTTCACATTTTACAAAAACAAAAATCTGAGATTATTGCCTAATGTTATAAAGGTTTGCAAATAGAGCAGGGCTACTCATCCTTTAATAATGCATATGAATTGACCGGGCTTCTTATTCAAATCCAGATTCTAATCCGTGGGTTCAGGTTGGGACCTGTGATCCTGCATTTCTAACAGGCTCTCAGGTGATGGTGATATTTGGTATGTGGACCACACTTGGGGTAGGCGACAACACAGAACACGGTAAAAGGGAGTCGTCTTGTTATTTCAACAATGTTGCCCTCTGCTTCTCAATGATAAGAGCCTTTTAGCTGTGTGTCATGTATGGTTACTACCTCAGAAGTACTAGTTTGTTCTTAGTGTTTGATGTTAATGCTTTGCTAGACCACAGCATTCATAATTAATCCGAAAATTACCTGGATTCCTTTTAAAGTAGATTTGTAGGTTTTTTTTATAAGTTTTCTTATGGGGGGAGGTAGGGAAGGTGAATGTAGTATATATGATATGGAAGTGGATTAATTTAAATTTGCTTTGTAGATATTTATATAGAGATTGTCTAATTAAAATACAGAGTAATACAAAGGCATACTTGTAGTACTTTATTTCCTCTAACATTCAACTTTTCGTATATTTATAACCTATCATATCTTTATATAATTTATGTTGCTAAACTATAACTTAGATATTTTAGTTTCTGATCTTTGACTTCTTTTTATTTCATGGACTTGTTGATTTGCCTTTCAAAAATTTATTAATCTTCCTCTGCTGAAATTAATTTGATATTTGCATGCTTTTGAAAGACTTTAAAGAGCTATTCCAAGTAATTGTGGAGGTTATAAAATATATAAAAATTTTAAAAATTTATATTTCCAGTTTCTGTGAAAATTTGAATCCCTGTTTTCTGCAGAGTATTTTGTTACTCATCTGCTATTATTTATTTGCTGTTTGAACAAAATAATTACATATACTCTTGTTGCATTTTATCAGCAGCTGTTTGTTTCATGCCCTAAGTTTTAGTCTTGAGCGTGAACCTAAAACACAAACACCAAACAATTATAAGTCAAGTTAATAGGAATAAGACATTCATTTAGAAGGACTAGATAAGTTATTTTAAGCTTTGGAGGCCACAAGTGGTATCTGTTGCAATTTTTTTTCTTATAACCCTTTAAAAATGCAAAAATAATTCTTAGCTGTGGCCAGTACAAGAAATAGGCTATGGCTGCATTTGGCTTGCGGGCTGTAGTGTGCTGATCCCTGATTCTCTGGGGAACTGTATTGTTTGATTAGATGCTAGAAGTTAGGTCAGACTTTTGACTTGAAATTTACAGGCTAACATTAGTAATTTTAAAATAAAACTTACATATTCTGTGAAAGGGAAATAGGAGTTTTACTCTAGTACTTTTTAAGACAGGATTGCAGACTGTGTATCTTATGAAATAAATTACTTTGTAATTTAAAAAGCCCATCATATAGGCTAGAATATAATGAATTCTATATATTTTTTTTACAAGATTTTCGTCTACATCTGAAAGGCCAGCGTAATTTTTATTTTCTGCTAGTATGCTTTATGTGGTCCCTATGTTCCTAGTATATAAATACTGCTACCCCTAGTTCACATTTATCTGGGTAGTTTAGTAATTGCCAGATTTTTCTGGCCTCATTGGGCAGTAGATGCAGTGTTGGCAAAGACTGTTGAAACCAAAACATTGACACCATGGTAATCAGATGTGTGTTTTCCAGTCTGCTAAAATCAGAATTGGGGAGTATTCAGTAAAGTGGATGATAGAAGCAGAATTCTTAGCATATCTGCTACTCCTGATTCAGCTTTTTTGCTTTCTGGAGGTCTCAATTTGAGTATAACGGGAAAATTAGTTTTACAAACTTAAAAATGTTGAGTGATTAATTTCTGGCTTTTGTTGTTAATTTCTAGATACTTAAAATTAGTTGTGAGAAGACCTCCATTAAAGAAAACTTTTGACCAAATTGTCTTAAAGCAAACCAAATAAGGAACTCCTTATGTGGCATATTTCTCTTTAATAGTTTGTAGTTGAGTTTGTGTACATGAGATAAATATCTTGAACTTTAACTTTTTACAAGTTAAAAATAAAACAGTTACTGAGCACCTGCTGTGCTCCATGCATAACCTCCTATGTAGTGGTTTTGCTGCATTTCAGTAGTACCTGAGATGGACTATAGTTTAGCAAGGTTTCTTGAAAAATAAGCAATACAGAATTGTTTTTTAGGATACATCTAGTTTCTCCCATGCCTGTCCACCAATAAAACTAGTAGTCTTGCATCTGTCTATACTGAGAGTACTTGAAGTGTTATTTCCTTGAAAGTGTTTGCAAGAATTTTTGCTGATAATAAGCCACTCAGCAGGAACTTGTGTAAAATGAAATCGCTCAGTGAAAGCATTATAGGCACCAGGATATAGAGTGATCCTGTGTGTTGACAGTTCCACTTCTGGTGTGGAATACACTTATTTCCTTAATCTCACAGGTGTGTTTTCAGATAATAGCTGAGCTGAAGTTATTGTCAAATCTCTTGATTTAAGAAAAATTATACATATTGTACACTCTGTTTTACATAAATATTTTCAGTTCTGAAAGTTTAGTAAGTATGTGTGGCAATGAGCCATATTTTTAAGAATAAATCATTGGGTGCCAGTTAAGAGCTTATAGCAGCTAGCCACAGTGGATATTGGACATCTGATTCAGCTACACTTTGTCTTTAAAAATTAGCTACACATTTTGGGGTATGAAACCAGTGTTCTTTGCTAGTGCCAGTGGTTTAAGGTACACACAAGGATAAATAATGTTCTCTTGATGTCAGTATGATTCTAAGGCATATTATTAAGAAATGAGAAGTAATTTAAGTCTGAGAAAATAACTGACTCTTTAAAATTTAATATAATTTTGTATTAGTAAAAATAAAAAGTGAACAGAGTCACTCTGGAATAACTATTTCTCACTATTAATAATCTTAGCCACTGAGGCCCTAATACTGAATTCTTGGTGGTGGGTAGAAATCTCTTCTTTTTAATTATTGGCCTCCAGTTCTCTCTCTGCATTGCTGGAAACAAAAATCATATATCCTGTACTGGTGATGGGAATGTGCACACTTGAAAAGTAAGACACGTTCAAAATGATTTTAGAAATAAGTTACAATCAAAACTTGCTTCTGTTAAATTAGTAGGAGACCAAAACCCTGTCCCCTACCCTCCCCAGCATTTTTTTTTACTACTTTTCTATTGACTTTGTAACTTTTTTTAAACAGAAGTAAAAGTTTATTCTTAAAAAATATGAGCTTTTACCTGGTTTGTTTTATTTTTATGTGTATATGTCTATATTTTAATTTCTTGCATTGATTTTTGAACTCGAAGAGAATCATTTATGAAAATATCTTAAATGCCAGCTCATACTTTACAGTTTACATATTTTACAAGTCATTTTAATGCCTTCAGTTATTTATCTTATTTAATGAGAATTTCTAATAGATAATTTTTAAGGACTTAAAAAGTAAAAATATACCCTCTTGAGAATGATAAATATAAAATTTTTAAAAATTTGTATACAGGCACAAGTGGCTATCTAATTTATAAAGTACCAACATATTTAATAATTTCAGAAAACAGTTGGAGATTTTTATTTTGTAGTTGACTTAGCTAGCTAGTTGAGTAAATTGATTCCACTTAAAAAGAGATGCAAATTTTCTTGGGCTGTAATGATTTTTGTATTAGATAGCTGAATAGAAATATGTCACTGCCTGGGATAAATAACTTGAGATGTACATTTTAATATATAAACAGCAAATTTAAATGCCTCTTTCTTAACAAAACTTAATCTTATCCATTTTAAAGTTTTACTTTAAAGGTAAATTATTGAACTCTACCGAAGCAGTGCTTAATATATATTCTTGTGATTTATAAAAATTAATATACCCTAAAGAATTGAGGTGTCTTTTTTTTTCCTTAACTAGTATAGGCAATGAATGTGTGATAACTTCTGCATGCAGAAATTAAGCCTTAGTTGTTGGTTTACTTCAGTTAATATTTAAATGGCCAATTCTTTGTGTGTGATTGAACTTAAAACTATAAATCATATTTTTGATATGTATTAGCTTTCTAGGTACTGGGTTCATTTTGTCACATTTGGTTCATAGAAAGACTGATGTTACCAATCCCAGAGAGTTCAAATAGGCCAATCCCCCTTAGTGAGTAATTTTTAAAGTAAAAACAGATTAAGCTTAAAATTAAATGTGTAGTAAAATATACCAGTCTTTCTAAGTACTTCATTTTCTTTTAGAATAATAAACACAAATACTAATCTTTTAAGTTAATTTGCACTGCATGGGGATTAGTATTTGTGTATATCTTTTAGATGTAAGCTTCAACTCTGGTGGTATGTTTTTCTAGATAAACTAGGAGTACAGTTAACTGAATACTCTGTCCCCTTTGGCTACTGCTTACTTTTCTGGACTGGAAAAGACATTAAAAACTTTGTTGGCCTCCATATGGCCATACATGATTTGTTGTCATAGCTTTATCACTGTAGCCTTAAGCAGAAATCCCTTTTGTCCCTGTAGAGTATTTAAATTAGAATGGAAGGTATGAAACCAATATAATTGGATAGTGCTCTAAAAATTATTTTTAAGACTTCTTTCTAATAAGGAAACAAACTGCACTGTTACTATTCTGTGTGTGTACTTTAAACAATTTGTGATGTTTTCATATTATGGTATATGGCCCTCATGTAGCATTTTTATTTAAATAATGTAGCTACAAAAGTCCCAATCTCCGATCCACTTGTGGACCCTAGAAATGGTCTGGACAGTGTTTTAATTGAAGATAGAACTCAAGATTCCAGTCCCTTGACCCAACTTTATTTTGAGGTGTGTGTGTGTGTGTGTGTGTGTGTGTGTGTGTGTGTGTGTGTGTGTTTAAATATCTCTTCTGTACCATTTTTCTCCTTCCTCACATAGGGCAGGGGTGAGAGAGGCAGGGATGCTTGTTTTTCCTAAGTTAAATAATTTAAATCTAACTTCAGTTTAAGCTTTGATTAATTCCATGACTAGCAAACTATAACAATTATATTAGTTGATACACAAATACTAATATAGGTCCTAGGTTTTTCCTGATCTCCCCTAATAACTAATTTAAATTGTTTTAAAAAATTCAAATTCCATTACAAAACAAAAATGATTTTAAAGAACAAACCAGGATTCAAGCCCATATTTTAAAACTGCATCCCCACTTTTTTTTAAAATAATCTGATGTCTGTTTTAAAAAGAAATTCTCAAGTAAAGGTCATAATTTCAAACTTCTTGCACAAGGCTGTCCCAGTAAATTACAATTACCAATGAAACAGACTTTAAAGAAGTTGTGTTTTACAATGCAGAGAGTGGAGGATGCTTTTTATACATTGGTGAGAGAGATCCGACAGTACAGATTGAAAAAAATCAACAAAGAAGAAAAGACTCCTGGCTGTGTGAAAATTAAAAAATGCATTGTAATGTAATCTGGTAAGTTCGGCATATTAATTTTGGCAGAAACCAGATGTCTTTCAGAGGTAACAAAGTAGCAACCACTTTAGAACTACCTAGGGTGTGGGGTTCGGATTGGCAGCATTGAAAGATAAGAAATTGGTAGTTTGTTTCCATCATTACTACACTTATTTTTAATCTAATGTGTATTAATTATAATTGATGTAGTTTTGATAGCTGTATACTACATTTGTCATTGGGTCTAGAGAGGAAGAAAAAAAAAGAAACTGTAAAGAGTAGTAAGGTAGAGTGGCCCAGAAGGTGGGGAAGGGCCCACTCTTACAGTGTATTCTTTCTTTTGGACATTCTGCAAGCAAATACTTGTTCTGCCTGTGTTCTCTAACTTGGTGGCAGCACCATCACTGTTTTACCCAAGTAAGAAACCTGGGTAAAGTCTTGGGATGACTCTTATATTCCTCTTTTGCACCCCCATTTGGAGGCAGCCACAATTTCATTTGATGTTACATTCCAACTTTTATCACATCATTAGTTCAGGCCCCTATCATTTCTTGGTGGGACTGTTATAACTTATTTGGTTTACCTGTTCCTGCCTTTATTCACGGTGTATTCAGAGATACACTTAAAAGAAATGTCATTGTCTTTTCTTTAAGTCCAGTCACTGACTTCCTGTTACGTATGGAATAAAATCTCTAACTTCATAGCAGTTTATACATATATGTCTGTAACATCTTCCTACCCCTCTAACCTTCGGCCTTATTCCTAAAAACTCCTTGCCTGAAGGGTTTTTTGTTTGTTTTGTCCTATGTAAAAAAAATACCATGTTATTCCTTTCCTTTCCTTGAGTCTTGGCTGTTGCTCTTGTTTGGAATGCCCGTATCCTTATCCATAGTCATATTAATTAGCTAACACTTTTTTCATGATTCTCTACTATCCAAGAATCTTTATAGCCTTAAATGGGCATAATATCCAATATACTGTTCTTAACTGTTACACGCTTGCATGTTAAATTGAAATAACCTCTTTTATGTCTGATTCCCAAACAGTAGAATCTTAGCCAGAATCATGTATTTTTAATCTTTGCGGGACCATAATTTAACAACGTTAAGTTATGTATATACATATTTACGTATACATTAGCTGCCCATTTGGATTTACTGAGTGGAATTTCTCAGTTTCCTTTCTAAACCAGCCCATATTAAATTTGGTCTCGGGGCGCCTGGGTGGCGCAGTCGGTTAAGCGTCCGACTTCAGCCAGGTCACGATCTCGCGGTCCGGGAGTTCGAGCCCCGCGTCAGGCTCTGGGCTGATGGCTCAGAGCCTGGAGCCTGTTTCTGATTCTGTGTCTCCCTCTCTCTCTGCCCCTCCCCCGTTCATGCTCTGTCTCTCTCTGTCCCAAAAATAAATAAACGTTGAAAAAAAAAAAAATTAAAAAAAAAAAAATTTGGTCTCGATCAAAAAATATTTCACTCAGTAGTTTTTATTATATTGATTTGAGTTCTAAAATAGTGTATCTCCCAAAAGCATAAAATGTACATTTGAATAATAGACTCAGTCCCAAAAGACACATGGTACACTAATCTGCTAAACTCAGAAGAAATAAAGCATGACTGGCATTAATTTTTATTGAGATTTATGAACTCTTAATATTCTTTGAGTATCATTGTATAGAGCAATATCTTAATTTAGAAATTGTGGCAAAATTTAACATTGCAATGCAATTTGAAAACTTTTTTTTAAAGTAGAGCTATTTAGAATAAAGTAAGTTTTACACTTTAATTTTTATTTAAAACAAAGATGGAGGCATATACTTTTCCAAGATTTCTAATTTGTGACTCTGTAGTGTAAATGTCAAATAATTAGTGGGCATGATGAATTGAATCCTTGCTTTTTTCAGTGGGCGTGGATATCATTTTATTTAAAGGTGTACTTGGTAATACTTAAAATTTTAAATAAAAATATTTTTACAAAATTAATTTGACAGTAATAAATATATACAAATTTGTTTTTCTCAGTCCTAAAACGAATGGGTTTATTTTTGAGACAGAGAGAGACAGATCATGAATGGTGGGAGGGTCAGAGAGAGAGGGAGACACAGAATCAGAAGCAGGCTCCAGGTTCTGAGCTATCAGCACAGAGCCCGATGCAGGGCTCGAACTCACAGACTGCAAGATCAGGACCTGAGCCAAAGTCGGACGCTTAACTGACTGAGCCACCCAGGTGCCCCTAAAATGGATGGGTTTAAACAAAATTACTGGGATAATTTTTTGTCTTTATATATGTGTGTATAAAAATGACTAGTTCCCATATGGAAAAAAGGAATTCAGTGTCCATTTTGATTAATTGTAACCTTTCCTTAATCATTGCAATTATTCAATTTTAATAAGTTACATAAGAGTTCAGTATTAAGAAAGAGTGCAGTATTAACCTAAACTATTTGTCAAAATCTTAGAAGATGGTAATGTTATCACATTCTGTTTTCATTGTCCCCTAAATACTTGAGTATTGTTTTTTAACTTAGAATGTGTCTTCTCTATATCCATCTCATAGTTTTTCATTTTATCTGCTTCACTGTTTTAGTACCATTGACATTTTTCTTCATTGTAAAAGTAGTTGAAATGGAGTAGGCTACATAAGCATATGTGATAAAAGGGAATTTGTGAAGGGTAGGGGAGTTGGATTAGATCCTCTTTTAAGATTCCATACCATTCATAACCATTTATGATTATAAATTAGTCAAGGGTTGGTGAATTATAAAATAATGGTTCTTTATTACATCGTTGGAAGCTTTTGCATTTTGTGTGTTAAGAAGGTTAGCATAAAGATTTACATATATTAAGCCTTGATTGTATTGCTGATAAGTTATATTTTATCACTTTTCCTCTCCTTTGGGTGAAGGAAAAGCATATGTTGTGCCAGTAATGAATGATTTCAGAAAGTGGGGAACATCATTGAGTGCAATTTAGGGGTTTTATTGGAGACTTTTTCCCCTGGACTTTTCATCGCTGTTCATGTGATAATTCTGGTGGGTTTTTTTTTTTTTTTTTAATTTTGTTTATTTTCATTTTTGAGTGGGGAAGAGGGGCAGAGGGAGAGAGAATCTAAAGCAGGCTCCACACTCAGCATGGAGCTGAACGTGGGGCTCAGTCCCACTCTTGAGCTGAAATCAAGAGTTGGTAGCTCAACACACTAAGCCATTTAGGTGCCAAATAATTCTGGTTTTCATCCTATAACTACTTATTTAAACCTTCACCAAGCCTCTCATTCCTGCTCTGTGTTTACTTTTTTTTTTTTTAAGTTTATTTATTTATTTTGAGAGAAAGTGTATGTGTGGGAGGGGCAGAGAGAGAGAGGGAGAGAGAGAATCCCAAGCAGGCTCCACACTGTCAGCACAGAGCCCTATGCAGGGCTCAATCCCACAAACTGTGAGATCATAACCTGAGCCAAAATTGAGAGTCAGACACCCAACTGACCAAGCCACCCAGGTGCCCCTGTGTTTACTTCTTCAAAAATATAATATTTTTCTTTTAGATCTGTTATGAAAATTAGTTAAGTGTAACTTAAATGAAAATGCCCTGAATTAATTTTACTATTTTGAAATATTAATTGTAGAAGATTTTTGTAGTGTAGTAAAGGAGAAATCATATCGCTGATAAATTTTTAAAGTTTAAATTTATTTTCAAGAAATAAATAACTTATATGAATGTGTTTATATGAATATTCAACAGAAGTGGTTAAAATGAATAAAAATTCAGTTTTCATTATATTTAAAGTGTCTTGATTTATATAACTTTATTTGCTGAGTATTTGTTCCTAGGACTCCCTCTAGTGTCTCTGAAAGCATCAGTAGGTTAGCAGCTTTTTAAAAAGAATTACTACTCACAGATTTTAAAGTACATAGAGGATCATACTTTTTTATTTTTTAATTTTGCTTTTATATTTAGCTTGTTTTTTAATGGGGTCATAACAGGAATTGATTTCTATAATTGTGTAATTTCAGTATTGCAGGGTTAAAATCTACCACTTTGAGAGTGCCATTTTTCACTTTATGAATTATTAGGTTGAAAATTATTCTACTTGAAATCACTTTCAGCCATTATTTATTTATATACCTTGCTTTGATCAGGAATAGATTTACCAAAATGACTAAATGGAAATTTCTTTGAAGATACAGCATTTGGCTTTATATGGCAAACTTTTGAATATGTAATATATTAATTAAACAGAAAGTAAAACAATAATAAATAAAAGAGAATTTCCTCCAAATTGATAACTATACCACCGTTTAAGTGATTGAGCTCATTTCTCTACAAGTCAGAGGTATTACATGTTTCAAAGTATTGTGTCTTATCTTTGGGGTCAATTCAAATTTCTTTTTTATATGTTAAGTATATGAATTGAAACTAATGCCTTAATATATATTATTTTCAAAACTGTAAGTATATTTGAATACTGTTTATTTCTTGGGGATTATTTAAATCTAACGGATTTAAGTAAGTATTGAACCCAGAGCTCAAATATTGTTGCTGTCAGTATTTATGAAAGTGGTACATAGTTGCATGTCTTATATCTAACATGTAGAAACTCAGAGATAATTAAGTGTAAATGCATTTTCACACACATAAAAACACATGCAGAAATGCACTGGGATTTGGTGACAGAAGTGTGTCAATATGAAAAAATAAGTAGCAAAGTAAGTTCTGGGAAAAAGGTACTTGTTCAGCTTATGTAAGATTCTGTACCACTGCTTTTCTTTGCCTTTTGTGAAAATCAGTGTTCCTATTTATAATGCTGACGAAATACTCATGAAGAAAACATTTAAGAATCCTAAAAGTCTTAAAAAAAAAAAAAATCCTAAAAGTCTTTGTCTAAAGAGAAATGTAAAGTGTCCTTATTCTTTCTCAGTATTAATGTCTCCAGTAGTAGTATATCCTTTCTGTTATCTCTATACCTCAATCCATCATATATATTCACATTTTAATATTTGTTATGTGTTTCAGGGTGTTGACGATGCCTTCTATACATTAGTTCGAGAAATTCGAAAACATAAAGAAAAGATGAGCAAAGATGGTAAAAAGAAGAAAAAGAAGTCAAAGACAAAGTGTATAATTATGTAAATACAATTTGTACTTTTTTCTTAAGGCATACTTAAGTAAAAGTGGTAATTTTTGTACATTACACTAAATTATTAGCATTTGTTTTAGCATTACCTAATTTTCTGCTCCATCCAAACTGTTAGCTTTTATCTTGAATGCTTATTTTAAATGACAGTGGAAACTTTTTTTCCTCTAAGTGCCAGTATTCCCTGAGTTTTGGTTTTTGAACTAGCAATGCCTGTGAAAAAGAAACTGAATACCTGAGATTTCTGTCTTGGGGTTTTTGGTGCATGCAGTTGATTACTTCCTATTTTTCTTACCAATTGTGAACTTTGGTGTGAAACAAATTAATGAAACTTTCGAATCATCCCTATTCTGTGTTTCATGTAGTCACATACATGGATTAATTACTAATTATAACTTCAGTTGAGATTTCATGATTCGTTTTACTGAAACATTGAGGGAACATGAATTTATGGGCTTCTTGTAGATTCATCTTGTAGGTATTAATGTCCTATAGTTTCAGTCACCCTTAATGAATGTAAAGTTACACTGTTCATAAAGGTTTCTCCATCTTTTCACTGCTGTTTGTCATAGTCACGCTCCCCAAAATATTATATTTTTTCTATAAAAAGGGAAAAAAAGGAAAAAAATACAAGGCAATGGAAAATATTAAAAGGCATTTACTTTCTGTATTAGATAAATTCCTATAATACTCTGAATAGCTTTTCCTGTTAAGGCAGACCCAGTATGTGATGAGGATTATAGCAACCATTTTGGGGCTATATTTACATGCTACTAAATTTTTGTAATAATTGAAAAAATTTTAACATGTATAAAAAATTCCCATAGGAATTAAATATAGTCTCCCTGTGTCAGATTGCTCTTTCTTAGCATAACTTTAAATCTTTTGTTGAACTTCAGTCTTAGAAAATAGTTTTAATTTTGGTAGTGACATTAAAGATTATTTGGGCCAGTTAGCTTTAGTAGATGTTAAAGAGACCAAGACTGCAAGGCCAGGCCTTGTGTGAACCTTTGAGCTTCATTAAGAGTTTCATGGTATGGACTGCATCCCTGTGGCCTCCCAGTGTGCTCATGCATTGGGTGGTCAAAAGTAGGGACTAGCAGAGTTTGGATAAGTTACATTCTCACTATGTGGTGGTCCTCTGACAGATCAGGAACATCACTTTTAAAAAAACCAACAGAACTTTTTAAAAAACATTATTTTAAATGAGATTTTGGGGTTGGGGGTGGCAAGACTTTAATTTTTTTTAAACAATGAAGTGAAAAAGTTTCAAAATCTCTAGTATTGGCTAGTTCTCAACACTGGCTAAAGTAACATTTCATAAACACTTTACAAGTATGGTCCATATTTAAGAATATATAATGCTTAAAAAATAAACTAATAACATGATTCTTTCAATGCGTTTAAGATGTATTTTTAAGTATCTGAAGTAAGGTGGTGTGTTGAGGTGAAAATATCACTGGGCTAGGAGGAAGGTGACTTAGATTCTAGTTACGTGTCTTTTACAATTCAATTTTGGGCAAATCACTTACTATCCATTTCTTCTATGTTAAAAGAAGTCATCTCAGAGGCTATATCTAGCATTACAGCTATGTGATTTACATTCAGTTTACATAAGGAATACCTATTTGTCAATCTCAGCACAATCTGTAACTTTTTACCTGTGTTATCTTCAGTGCCAGTCTTAGGCAAAGTTGTGCAAGAGGTGAAGTTTATTTTTGAGTATCTGCTCTCCAGTATCAGTATCAGTACTCCCCCACATTAGTGTCATCTTGCCTGCCTACCCTTCTACATGCCCCATGACTTGATGCTTTCCTTTTAATACTTTTGATTCCTCTAACCTCAAGATTTATTGCTGCTTTGGATATCTCTGTGAAGGCTTCCCATCAAGTCACATTAGTCAGGCCTAACATAATCTGACAGATACTATAGTGAGATGGACCTAATAGCTAATTTTTAGATGGTAGCTATATAGCAATTTAACTTTGATCCTTTTGAACATCATCTCTTTGCTACCCGGTCCATTAGTGACTAAGTAGGAATTTTCATACCTGCTATGAATAGACAGAACCCTATCCAGTGGAAGAATTTGATAAAGGTAGTACTGAAAGATGTCCTTAGATAATCTAAAATTAGGACTAGCCCTGGTAACAGTGATACATTCCATTATTTTGATAAGCAAAATCTTACAATGAAAAATACCTTAAAATTTAATTCACAAGGCTTACTTTTTAGCAGAATTCATTTATTCAACAACTATTTGAGTGCCTACTAGATGCCAGGTACTGCACAAGGCACTGGGGATATTACAATATCCCCCAAAAAGGGACATGATCCCTATCCTTAAGTAGTGCTGATATTTTAGAGTGTTCTGTAATATCTTAGTGAGGCATTTGGCACATGACCCAGAGATAACATAATGCATATTTTAGTTTCGCAAAGAAGGGATATGGTCTCTAAGGTTTCTTCCAGTTCTAAAATAATTGTTTTGCTCTGATTCCAGTAAAGCTGTTTAATCAAGCTACTTTACATAAATCACTTTACTTCATTATTTTAAAGGAGTAAACTTGACTATATATTGTTTTTTATTTGGGATAATTATGTGATTCTCTTGGGACAACTTATAGTACATATTAAATCATATGTCAGATAATAACATTAAAATTCCCAAGTGTGTATTATTCTAGTTGGTCTCTTTGTATAATAATTAAAATAGACTTAAAATTAAATAATTGAATTTAAAAATAGTTTTATTTATCTGGGTATGAATAAACAGATGCTTGAGCTAATTCACAGAAAAAGAAATTTCTGTGTAAAAATCAGTCCAGTTTCTGAAATGCTGTGCTAAATTACAGGTTTATGGAACATTATCTAGATAGGGTGTTAAGACTTTATAGTACTTCCTCTTGTTTCTACACAAGAGAAAGAAATGGCCATATTTCAGGAATTGCAGTGCTTAACTGAGGGATTTTTAGGACTCTTGAATTTTTTGATGTAGCTGGGCAACTTTTTTTAGGCAGTGGTAATTATCCTTTATTATGTGAATTTTGAATGGTTTGACACAAGGTTTGTTTTTGTAGGGATTTTAAAAGGGGAGCCATAATTCTAGAAATAAATTTATGTAATTATTACGGCCTTAAAGATAAAAATCCTTGTTGAAGTTGAAAAAAGTTGCTAAATTACATAGTCTTAGAACATTAACATGTTTGTGGAAGAACGTAGCAGAAGTATGTAGTATAATTTCAGTGAATATTTCCAATTAGGAATTCTAGGCTCTATTTTAACTGAGTCACACTGCATAGGAATTTAGAACCTAACTTCTAGGTTATCAAAATCTTTGCCACCATTGCACAATTTTGTCCTAATATATAGAAACTTTGTGAGGCATGTTCAGTTGCAGTTTGCACAAGTTCATCTCATTTGTATTCCGGTGATTTTTTTTTTTCTTCTAACCATTTTCTTCTAAACGATATATATACACATTCAGTTTTTCTGGTAGGCAATAAAAACTGTCATTTCCATTGTCAAAAAATAATAATTTCTTGGTAACTCTGTATTAATGGTTTTAAAAAAAAATCAGTTACTTTAAAACTGAATTTATATTTAATAATTTCTGTTAGTATTGGGTAGCATGAAATCTGCATTGAGAAATTGAACAGCATACAACTGGTAGTTGTAAATTCCTTCAGAAAATGAAAATTATTTCTTTCTTAAGATACATTTACATGAGTTCTTGAAGAATAGTCATAACTAGGTTAGTAATTGTTTTCGTTTAATAGTTTTAAGTGCCTGTTTGGGATGATGATAGGCAATTTATATGAATTTAGGAAAAAACAGTTTTCACTTGCAGAAATGTCAATTACAGAGGGTCCCCCTCCCCATAGAGCTAAATGGGTTATGTAATGTTTTATCCAAAAGTTTCCAATTCCACTGTCTTGTGTTTTCATGTTGAAAATACTTTTGCATTTTTCCTTTGAGTGCCAATTTCTTACTAGTACTATTTCTTAATGTAACATGTTTACCTGGAATGTATTTTAACTATTTTTGTATAGTGTAAACTGAAACATGCACATTTTGTACATTGTGCTTTTTTTTTGTGGGACATATGCAGTGTGATCCAGTTGTTTTCCATCATTTGGTTGCGCTGACCTAGGAATGTTGGTCATATCAAACATTAAATTTAAAAATGACCACTCTTTTAATTAAAATTAACTTTTAAATGTTTATAGGAGTATGTGCTGTGACGTGATCTGAAATTTGTAATATTTTTGTCATGAACTGTACTGCTCCTAATTATTGTAATGTAATAAAAATAGTTATGGTGACTACGACAGTGTGTACTTCTTGATGGAATTTGAGTGTACTTCTTGATAGAATTTGAAACATTTGCCCCACAGTTGATACAGAACAGTAATATTAGTGAATATTAGTGAATCTTTTGCAGCTTATCAGTTAAGTATAGTCTTTGTGAAAGGTGTTGTGAACATTATGTAAAGGTTTAAGTGTTTACTTAAAACCGTGCTAGATTTAGGTCCATTATCATGTTAATTCATTGAGAAGTAGATGCAGAACAGATCTACCTTTATGATGAAACAATAGAATAACATTATTTATTACTTTTTATCAGTAAAGGTACTTGATACACAACAGGTGACTTGTTTTAAGACCCAAAGAGAACCAGCAGCAAAATTAATGATGGAAGATATTAAATAGGTATGTATGTAGTGCCAATCACTGGCAGCCTACTTCAAGATCAGAAATAATCTTACTACATACATATTATTTCTATAACTACACTTAAATCATTGCCAGGTGCTATTGTTTTGTATCGAACCTTGAATGTGTGCTGTCAAGTGCCAAATAGGGCCAAAAATAAGCTGGTATTCCTTCAAAAGTTAAGGGAATTAATGTATAAGAAATTATTTTGCTTAGTTAAATGTGCATTAAGTGGCATTTTCTTGTCAGTAAAATGGAGAAAGAGGCTAAGAATAATTGGCAAAAACTTACTAAGTTAAAATTATTTCAAGTGTACTATGTTTTCATTCAAAATTGGGTATTTATTAAATTTTAATTGGTAGTTGGCTATGTTGCTAATTTTGTGTAAAATTAAGCATAAAGTGTTATTGATGAAGCTCTGTGAATAGAAATTGAAACCTATTTTAGTTCAATAAGGCAGCACAGGTATTTTTTTTTTACAAAACCTGTATATCTTGCCATTTTAAGACACAATTATTTTTTATCACATCTGGTATACATAGATAGCTGACACTGAATTTCAGTCAAATTATAGTAATCGTAATCAGTTAGTTTTGTTGATATCTGAATAATAGCGTTGTTTCATCGCTCTGTATTTCCTAAGGAAGTATAAGGCTTCTAGCTCTTTCATTACAAATTCGCCCCGTCCAATAAGTTCTTTGATCTTCTCTGGGTCCTTCACATCTTTGTTTTTAAGGAAAACATTCTTCAGACGCCTTTTAAAATAGTCTGCTCCTTTTGGATAGTCTCGTCCAAGATACAGCAGCTTAAAAAAGA